AAGGAAGGAAGGAAGGAAGAAAGGAAGGAAGGAAGGAAGGAAGGAAGGAAGGAAGGAAGGAAGGAAGGAAGGAAGGAAGGAAGGAAAAAAAAGAAGGAATGATGGATGCAAGGAAGGAAGAAAAGAAATAAAGAATGAAGGGAAAGAACATAAGAGGAAGGAATTTATAATGGTAATAGATCTGAGTGGAGTTCAAGTTAATGTTCTGTAATCATACAAGGAATAAACAAAATTGGACGAACACCCAATCCACCCCCTCCCCCCACTAAAATCTGATACCTTAATAGAGATTTTCTTTTTCAAAGCATAGCATGTTGCCTTGACAACCAGCCACACTATGTTACCACTAGGAGGTCTTCTCTTGTATCCATGACGACCAGCCCAGAATAGTGCGATAGCAAGTAACATGAGTAAAGCTGGAATGCCAAACGCTAAAGAATAGCAATCATCTCTGAAACACTGAACATCTCCTGAAATTTGATAGAGAACATGTTCATTAAAGGAAAATATAGGTATACTGGTACAATATATTTACTTTTCAGGGGATGTAATAGTGGGCCTGGAGCAAATAAGAAGTGGGTCACCAATAAATTATTATGTACGGAGAAAAAATAGAAGGCCCTATAATATTATTTTATGCAACTAAAAATGTGTGTGTATGTTGGATTGTATCTATAAAACTGCTGTGTGGGGGGAAGCTGAAAAAAAATGTGCTTTACAAATTTATGTAAGGGAGGTGGGGTGGGGGGGGGGGGAGTCAAGAAAAAGAAAACATCGCACACCTAATTTTAAAACAGCCCCCCCTCTGCTAATAAATCATATTTGCTGTATTTATCTAATCGTGAAATACTAATTTAATAATTTGTTTATTTATTTATTAATGCATAATTCTACCTCTTAAAACAGGAGTCAAAAGCATAGATGACAGACTCCCAGCATTGATTGCAAAGTAGAACACAGAGAAAAAGCTCTGCAACAGATGTTCTTGATCCGAGGGGAACTGATCGCCTCCAAATGCTGAAACACATGGCTTTATTCCACCAGTTCCTATGGCAATAAGGAGTAGACCAATCATAGGCCCTGCTGCTTCGCCCATTCCGAGTGGGGGGAGTGCTGTCATAGAAACCACTAGGTTACCCAGCGCGTAAATGAGGGAAACATACAGGATGGTTCTAAAGGGAGTATGAAACATAAATTACATTACAAGGGTTTTTTTCAATATAATACTACACCTACATAAAAAATACTTAATTCTTTGCTTGGACATATCCCTTTAGCCAAAAACTTAGATCGAAACAAAAATCTAATTATATCTATGGTGGAAAGAAAGCCTAACAGAAAGCCAAACCCACTTGATAAGGTTACGAATAGACAAATTATTTTAATTTAGGAGTTGAGAACCTGGGGAAAAAACCATAAATTCACATACAACACCCAGTCCAAGATGACTCAAATACCCGCTGTCTTCCGGGGGGGGGGGGGGGGGGGCCCCCCCCCCCCTTTGGGGGGGGGGGGGGGGGGGGGGGGGGGGGGGGAGTACCCTTGCCCGTTTAGGGTAGGGATGTGCTGCTGAGCCCACTGAACCCTGACTCTATTCCAGAGTAAAATCGCTGAAATTCATACCCTGTTCCAGGGAGCAAGATTGCTGAAAATCATAACCTGTTCTGGTATTTGAAAATGGATACCCTGTTCCAGAGAGGAGAGAGCGTGATTTCATATACCCTGTCCCAGAGCGAGCATGATTTTATATACCCTGTTCCAGAGTAGAATCRCTGAAACCATACCCTGTTTGGCGGCATGTACCAGTATAGTGAATATAGGGGATTCCCCTCCCCAGGCTGAAATACTGACACTAATTAGAACTTTTTAGCTCGACGTAATGTTTTTCCATTCCAGACCACATGTCCTTCCCTTGAATATCATTTCTTCATTTAATGGTTGTGGATGAGAAGACACATGAATATAGATACAAATGGAAAATGAAGAATCTTATTCTCAAAGGAATRACACATGGTCTGTGGTGGAAAACATTTTGCCCAAGCAAATGCGCTTATCAATGTTAGACCCCAGGGGGGGAGGGAGGGGGGTATYGGGCAAGAGGTGGGGATTTAAGAGCAAACATGTGTCCCTGGGTTGACAATTCATGGGATTATAGTGCAATCTGATCTGCAACCAGGGACATTTGAATTTTCTTATCATTTTTCCCAAATCCCCGCCCCTTGCCTTACAAACCTTCCCCCCTCCCCCAACGGGACTTACATTGACGTATATAAATGACCCACTCACCTGTACTTTCCAATCCATCCGTCAGCCAACATGGCTCCAAACAATGGGGTAAAATAACATAACATCGAAAACGTATGAAACACAGCCGTTCCAGTATTATTGGAAAATTTCAGTACCCTCGTAAGATACATGAACAAGATCGCTTTCATCCCATAGTAAGAAAAGCGTTCGCAAAATTCATTGCCAACTATAAAATATATACTTCTTGGAAAACGTGTTTTGCAGAGAACGAACTTTCTGATCCTTCCCCAAGCTTTTCCACTAAGTTTAGGAGGATTTTGAACTTCTACTTGTGGCATTGATGGAGACACAAAAATATCTGAGCCATCACTTGTGTTTGCTTCTCCAGAACGACTGATATCCATCCTAAAACCTGTTATGCTCAATTTTAACGGATCTTAGAGCGTATATGTGTGAGTTATGGACTTAGAAGAAGCTCTGAAAAACAACCAATGTTTTGGAGTGCATTAGAATGTGAGGCTTGAAGCTGTTTCAGGATTTGTAGACCCGGAAAATCTTTCACTTGAAGGAATGGCTTAGATCACCAAGGCTTTTGAGCAAATATAATCGATATATTTTTGGTAAAAACGACCTTAAAAAATAATATTCTCGCGTGCGAATAAACATTGCGAGGAGTACCAGTTACTAATGGCCCGGGAATCATGAGAGCTTTCTTAAATTTGTGACGTATTTCCGGGTCTAATCGCTCACAAAAAACCGCTAAAATAAAGCGAAAAGTGTTCTCAATGATTTAACCTTTACCTGAAACAACTAAGACTTTTGCCAGCAAAAACTGTCACAAAGAAAAAGTAAGAAAAATCCTCATAAAACTGCTTTTCGTTTTGGACCCGGAAGTAGTTTTTCCGTACCAACCGTCAACCTAAAAACACAGGAATACCAACCGAATTTTTTGTGCGTAGACAGGAAAGAGCTTTATCACGCGATTTTAAAAGATCATGCTAAAAAAGTTTTTTTGATTAAATTGTAATATTTTAGGTCTAAAATGTTCATAATACTTATTTAGAAATTTTAAAGAAATGAAAATGGATGCAAAATTAAAGAAGCAAGTAACCCCTTACACTACCCTCCCAAGTTAAAAAAACCTACCATTCCTCCCCTTCCTGGTCAAATTTCGTCTGGAGTTTCACAATATACGTGAAAATGGCGGCAAGACTTTTGAGACGTGGTTTAGACCACGTAAAAAGCAAGGAATTTCGCGAATATCTATGCAGGTAAGACTTCCATATCATAAAATAATATATCTACTACCTTTTTATGTTCTCACGCGTGTTTTTGGTTCATTTTCAGTACGGTAAGATGATGTGAATTCAAGATTTCTTTATCCACGTCGTCAATTCTCGAAGACTTTMATCGTATTTTGATTTTGAATCATTCTTATTTCAAATAATGTTTACTAATTTTTCTTTTTCTTTTGAATATGTTTTGGATTTTTAGCACTTTTGGGGGCCAGGTTAGTAAGAAGTTTCCATTTTTTAAAATCATTTTTCAGGCGTTTTGATGATTTCAAGTATGCATATCTCAACAACAAAACAATAACTTTATATAAATATAGCATATTCAATTATTTTAAAAATTTACAACACTACAGCAAAAAGACTCGAAAACAATATTTCTTTGGTCATTATGACACGTAAAATAATCTCTTAGCTTTACTGTAATGGTATAATTTCTCACAGTGTTAAGTTTATTAGCAAAAGAGTTGAAATATGAAGACAGAGTTCAGTTTATATGTTAAGCGTATTAATTCAATTTGTTTGAAATTATATAAATCCATTGAAGTGCATAATTTATGAAAAAGCACAACGTCCTTTACATGGCTTTGTTTTTCATCAGTATTTGATTTTAATGATTTTATTAATTAAATGGTTGCTTTACACATCAAAAATTAGCTTTTTCTAAAATTCTGATCCTGAAAAAAAAAATCTTTTTGGGGATATAGGTATAAATATAGGTATCAAACATTTATAATGGCTCATTCATGCTGAACCATCTTGAACTGTGATTGTATGTTTGTTTAGGCTCAGTCAAAATGACGAGAAAGGCGGAGAACATTTTGGACAAATTCCAATTCTTGTCGCTCATTAGGGCCACTAGTTTATCAGTTTGTAACTGTATTCTTGTATTTTTACCCTCTTTAAATAAAGTTGTTATCATCATCATCATTTTCTGATGATGGCTTTGTACATACCATCAGTTTTTTTCAAAATAGATTCAAATTTTCTAAATACCTTTTCCCCCAGCATTGAAGATGAAACATAAAAAATTGGTTGGGAAAGTTAAAAAAGGAAAGATAGAAACATTTCCTCTTTATGTGAAAATCTTTTTGCTTTTGGATATAAATCCCAGATTATAAGCTCATTAAAAAACATGAATAATCTCATAACCAAAATTTATTGCATCGGCACATATAACTGATCTGCAAGTCCTTAATTATCCATCAAAAACAATTGTTCTTTTGCAGTGGCCAATTGGGGACTACCCCTGGCTGCGCTGGCTGATATGAAGAAAGATCCTGAATACATTAGCRGCAAAATGACATCTGGTTAGTGGAGATGAAAAGCAGTAAACAAGTATACATATATGACGAAGTGCTGTCAGATAAAAATAGATACACAGGCCACAATGCATCATGGGAAGAAACAGTAGGATAGTACAAAATAAATAACGACTTTTCTGTATTCTGATTGGCTGTATTTTCAATGCAGCTGTGGGTTGAATAAAATTAGAGCTTTCAGTAGCAGAAAGGACTCTGTAGTCTATGGCCAGTTTTGCATTCCATGTATACTGCTGTCTTCCTGGGGGGGGGGGGGTACTCTTGCCCGTTTAGGGTAGGGATGTGCCGCTGAGCCCTCTGAACTCTGACCCTGTTCCAGAGTAAAAATCATACCCTGTTCCAGAGCAAGATCACTGAAAGCCCTGTTCCAGAGAGGAGAGAGCGTGATTTCATATACCCTGTTCCAAAGCGAGCGTGATTTTATATACCCTGTAGAATCTCTGAAAACCATACCCTGTTTGGCAGTGAATCCCGGGGCTGTCTTTGAAGACGACATACTTATTTGTAGAGGCTTAGCCTCATTTATAAGTCAGCTATTCACAGTTTGTAGAACTTCAAAAGATTGGTATTGTTCAAGTTGTACGTTCTTTACATAACAGTTATTTTTAGTGAATGATTTGCTCTTACTTGAACTCGGTAGTGGCGAGCTGCATGCTCAAATTTAGTTTTTCATTGCTGTCAATCAAAAATAATCAGTATCTTGTATATATCAGCACACATGTTCTTGACTGGCAGCAGTTAAAAACCAATTTCACAACGAACTGTTGGAATGTCTGATTTTGCAAAAGATGGAAAACCACAGTAAATGAGGTCAATTCTTTGCAGTTGTTAGAAGTAGTAGTGCAGCAGTGTCTTAATGAGAAAAGGGACTACTGTGATTCTATGAATATTTTCACTTAATACTTATGGTGTTTATGCTATTCTCTTACAGCGTTGTGTATATATTCTATGTTATTCATGAGGTTTGCCTGGAAGGTGCATCCCAGGAACATGCTTTTGTTTGCCTGTCATTTTTCTAATGAAGTATGCCAACTAGGTCAGCTTGGTAGACTAGTGAAATTTAGGTAAGACTGATGACAGCTTATTATTGCTTTATCCACACCCTACTGATAACTGACAACCAACACCCTACTGACAACCTATCAATACCCTACTGACCACCTACCAACACCCTACTGACAACCTACCAACACCCTACTGAACACCTACCAACAGCCTACTGAACACCTACACCCTACTAAATAGAAAAGTCTTTGTAGGAGTTTAATGCTCGTTTTCTGTAGGTATATTGATGGAGGCAAGGAGCACACAGCTGTTGAAATAACTGATTCAAGCTGAGAACCTAAAGAAGTTTATAACCCAAATATTGTGCTTCCAGTCAACCTACATGTAGACCATACAAGGAAGACTGGTATGACACAAACTGCATTTACTCCATTCTTCTGCTTCAAGACTTGGAATAGGAGGTTTACATGATGGTGTCATTGACCTCTACTACCAGACTCCCTTGCACACTTTCTTTTGTTCATTTAATTAGTACAAATTGTCTTACTATTCTCACGAGGAAAACCAAATTCAAATAAGAAAGAAATTTTGCAAAGCATCTGGGTAGTGGGAGTCAAATGATGCCATCATGCAAATGTCCTATTTTTAGCCATTTCTATATACTCTTTTACTGCGGTTTTCCATATTCTGCACACTGAAATTTGGTTTTTGGCACAGCCACAATGCTTTACTTTCAATGTTTGATGTCAAATTCTTCTTTTCACATCAATTTTCAATTTATTTATTTTTGATTTCATTACAAAAGAAAACAAATTTCATAAGAGTAAATTAATTTTATTCACAAGGGAATAATGAGAAAAAACTTTTTTTTAGAAGACAATTTTTAAATTTTTGAATTGCTTTCTACAGTGGTGTATTCTTAAGAGTGTGTGTGTTATTCTTATCATTTGTTTGACTGTTTTATTAAAATGATGTTTGTGCTTTAGCTTCTTTCTGGCTAGATAAAACAAAGATAAGTTAAGAAATTTAATGTAACTTGCAGGTCTAAGACTGTCACCCTTTTAGATCAATGTCCTTTGCATGTAATATAATTTATTTTAGATTTTAGATGATAGACAAACACTTGACAGATGCTTGAAAGTTTAATTTGTGTTAAAAAGAAGTTAAAAATGATATCTGCAAAAATCAACATGTCTTTTGAAGGTAGAGCTCACGTATAAGCAAACAGTTAATGTAATGATAGATAGAATTTCAAGAAAATGCCATAGATTTTCTGAATATATCACATCAAGAGAGTGCTACTATATGTAGGCTCTCCGTCTTTTGAAAGAGGAAAACATTATTCCAATAGTTTAATCGTTATTATTTAAATAGTGAATCTACTTTAGCTTTTATCGTTTCCCATTTCAGACCTCATGTTATTCCCTTGAGAATAAGATTCTTTGTATTAGTTGTATCTATATTCACGCAAAACCATTAAACAAAGAAATGATACTTCAGGGAATGACACATGGTCTGAAATGGGAAAGCATTACACCTAAGGTAAAGAGCTATTCAAGTTTTTTTAAATGAGCTTTAAATTTTTTGAGATGTATTCTGATGCAAACCTTGAATATTGTGATATTTATTATAATTTTAAAAGTATAAGCTGATATATTGGAAATAAACATTTTAAAGAATTCACAGGAAACAACCGTTGGGTCATATATTATCCATAACTTTAAACACTCATTAATAATTCATGAAGGAAACACAATAGAAATCATGACCATGAAGGAGGTTTTATATCTGATATAGATTCGTCTTCATTTGCATAAACTTTAACTTGGATTTTCTCTATCAAACTTGGTTCATTTCGTAAAGAATTCGGTACAGTATGAGAACATACATCAGGACTCGCAGATCGTGTTTTATCGGGTCTAAAACCACTCGGCTACGCCTCGTGTTTTATACCCGGGACAAAGGGGTGGTTGGTTTTGAAAATGATCCCAAAAAGGTATGCAAAAATTAAAAGAGCCATTGAAGGCATGTTATAGGACTCCGCAGCAGGCGTAGCTCAGCTGGTTAGTGCTCGGCCTTTAGAGCTAGAGGTTCATAGTTCGATCCTCAGGAACTCCACGTCTGTTCCGACTGCTCTCTGTTCTGTGTAGCTTTAATTAGCTTTAAATACCCGTAAAAAGGAGCACTGATAGTAAGAGGGGGTACAGGGCGCACCTTTGAGCGCATTAAACATGAGCCCTTGGCTTGGGAGAATTGGGCAACCACTCCCCGCGTTATCGAAGTAAAATAAATTACCTTTACTTTTTTTTACCTTTTGTTTTCAACTCCTAAAAGATACAACCATATAAATCTCATACAGTGGATAATATATTTGATAACAGCTTCGACTTATCTACTGGATAAGGATTTATCTGTTGGATAGCGCTATCCACCCTTCGTACAACCAGGCATTGGTCTACACATTCATTTTTATTGAACTCAACAGAATTCTTAGCTGTATTTCAGACACAAGTCATCCATAGATTTTAATTCTTTCTGTGTGACATCGTAAAATGACAAAGCATCTGTGCCCCCATTACTCCTGTAAGTAAATAAAATGAAAAAAATGAAACTTGACAATTAAAAGGATAAAGGATTAGAAAGTTTGAGGATGATGTGAGTGCCTTTGTGGTACATCATCCCTCCCTCCATCCATCCATCCATCCATCC